CGCAGCTTCCACCGCAGCTTCCACCGCAGCTTCCACCGCAGCTTCCACCGCCAACCACTGTCATCCGCCCTAACAGTGACTTTTCCGCGACTGGTGGTGTGGATTCTGCAGGTCTGGGGACCACTACCAATCAAATCATCAGTAGCACTCCAGCTGGTATCTCACAGAGTGCATCAACCATCTGTGCTTTGAATGCTCCAGAGCTCAAGCCCCTTATTGTCCTCAATGGTGATGTCGTTGCAACTAGTATTCAGCCAGCCACCATCGTACCAGCTTCATCCTTTATCTCCTCACCTTGTCTGGCAGAAACAACCTCTACATCTCCCTCTTTTGTCTCAACCAGCAGCACAGACCTCAACACTGCAGGCTACAACAGCTGTAAAGCTTCCTCTTTCACATCTGGTGTTATACCTTTTTGTCTTACAACAGCGCCACTCAGTCACAGTCCAAATGTCCTTGGACTCTCTTCGTTTTCCACAACATCATCCTGTCACACTCCCTCCGTTGCCACATCAGTAGCTCCATCAGTCCTCCCAGGAAGTGAAGGGCAGAGGCAGAAAGGAAGCCAGGAGCAAATCAGCCTTTCTTTGTTCCAGGAGATTTTGAAGCGGCAGGAGGAGCAGGCTTACCAAGATCGAGTGGCTCGCCGCAAGGTGGAAATCAGAGAGAAGAGGCGTGAGAGGAGGGAGGTGCGCATGTCAGAATCCCTCGGACGAATAGCCACAGCCTTGGAACTGCTGTCGTCCAAGCAGGACACAGTCATTGCTCTTCTGCAGAGACTGGCTGATCGGAAGTGAAAGTCTTCAAGACTCAGAAGCTGCGTTTGTTGGTTTGTCCTTCTCATTCTGAGGTTATGCTTATAAAACGTCCTATGTTCTGATCCAGCACATAATCTTTCACAGGTCATGGTTTTCTGCTAAATGAGACACAATAGAAGCGAGAGTTGTGTCATTTTTAGTAAATATCGGTTTTTGTACATTTCAAGTTTAATGACATTTGATTATTACATTTCAGTGGTATATATACTGGACGGCTTTGGCACAGTGGTAGGGCAGCCATCCTGAGCCCTAAAAGTTGCAAATTCGATTCTATAACGTCCACATTTTGCGGTGTCCTTGAGCAAGACACCTGTTCCCGAACTCCTCCATGTGCACTTAAAACAGCTGCTCCCCTTGTGTCTGTCTGTCTTTGGAAAAGGCATTTAATGCAACGTGGCTCTGAGTTCTGGTTATGGAGATCCAAACAGGTTTTTAAGCAGAACAAGTTGTGGACTAGATCTAGCACCAGCCCTGGTCTGGCACCAGAACCTCTTCAGCGGATGGAGCTACGGTACTCATACATTCATGATGTTTAATGGATGTTCGGATTGAGAGATCAGATAAACCATCAGGAAAGTGGATGTTGAGTTAAAAATACAACAATTCCTCAGAAATATTGTGTAGCGGACGTTCAAAAACGAGAAGAATTTTCTTTTTTTTTAAGTATTCAGTTTGTTCTACAAGCACAGAAAGTTGTTGGACCAGCTGTACTTTAACCATAAAGCCACTAGATGGAGAGCCTCAACTGTTAAATCCAGCAGGTGTGGGTCATTTTTTTATATTCCTCTTGAAAGCTTTTATCAGTGGTATGAATAGATACTGTCAAACTTAGTAGCATCTTTGATGGTTCTGTAGTTTCAGCTGGTTTTAAAGTGCAATGTCATACACAAGACTAGAAAGTGAACACACAGTCCTTAAGAGATTGGTCAATCTGAGTCACACTTTGAGTTACTCCCACCTCATGTTCATTTTCAGTTTCACTTGACTCTCTTCAAGTGAAGACGGCTGGGTTTTTTTTTGTTTTTGGATACAACAGTACTTAATCCATTTCTGCCATGAACTCTGACAACTCTCTGCAGGCAGAACAGGACATTGGACATCACGGTAAATATGAAAATGAACTTTCAGTTTGCATTTCCTCGAAGTTCTGCCCCCGTCCTCATTTATTTTACTTCAACTTTTCACAGGGCTTATTTGTGGTACTTATAATAACCGTTTTCTGTCACTCCACCTTGTGTTTTTAAGTGATAAATTGTGGCTTTTTTTTTTTTTTTTTTTTGAGGATTATCTAGTTTACAGGAAAGAAATGGATCAAAGGTCAGCAGCACAGTTCATGAACAAACTAAGGAACTTGTAAAACTGATTAGCAAGAGAAGAGTCTGTCTCTAACTCTGTTTTACGCCGTTGTGTTGGTGCGCATATTTGTTCAGACTAACCAGTCTGAGTGTTTTAATTTAACACATTCTGCATCTTTTTATAATGATCCTTTTTGATATAGCTCTTAATAAAATAACGAGCAGAAAGTAAAAAGCAATACGGTATTCAAATGATACAAATGGATCACATTAGGTGAAGCAAACATTTCTAAGAAGCCATTCGCTGTTTTTAACGCTTCCATGATCTTGTTTATGGTTAAAAATGTATAGAGTTTATTCGAATAACTTACTCTAAGTAAACTTAGAGTAAGTTATTTGAAGCATTTATCAAAGAATGCTGGGTGATAAGGCTTTCTGTCCACTGTGTGCCAATATTTGGTATCAGTTTCTGCTGAGGATTGTGATGTTTAATAAAAGTATTTAATGTGTTATTCGTCATACACAATGGTCACTTTAAAATATTATAGCATATAAAAATATGTACCAGTATCTACATTTTGTATATTACTGTACTACATATTCATCATTATGTATTTTATCAGCCGCAGCAATACGCACCTGAACAGGTACATAAAGATGATATCTCACTGAGCTGCGACTGTTAGTGACAAATTGAGAATGCCATGGGTTAAGATGTTGCCAAAATGTTTTGAAATATTTGTAAGGGTTCATAATTGCCTTTTTCAAGTCGCAGAGCCTCTTTTGTGGTTCTTTTGAAACCCAAAGTGCAGACAGATAAGATAAAGTGGTTATTTACGTGCTGACGCGGCAGCAAAAATACTTTCAGAGCTTGTGGTTATTAAACACAAGCACAGAGCTAACAATGGCACGTACAGTGAACAACGCCAAACTCAGGAACGGACTACAACAGGGAATATAAAGAAAAGACTGATGAACAAAATCACAAACATTTGGCCGGGAGGCAAACTGGAACAGGTGAGTGTGGGCGGGGCAGGAGCAGAAGGGCAGGAATACCAGTAGAACACTGGTCAGCAGAAAATGAGAAGGACAAACAAGTAATCAGAATACAAGAACCCCAGAAACGCCTAATAAAAAATAACAAAAAGACACAGAATCTGGAGCTTCGCTCACCTGTCACAAGAAGGTTCAAGGTTCTTTATTGTCATTCGCACCACAGAATTGTGTACTCAAGGTCCCAGTTACACCCAAAAACAGCAAAAATATAAACTATTAAAAAATAAACAGTATACAAGGATCTAAGAAATATGCTAAACAAAAATAATATATGGTGTATTAAACAGCAGTCTGAACACGAGTCTGTTTTGAGCAGATGGGTATGAATATAGCAGCTTATGGGTAAGAAATCAGCAGCACAAAAAAAAAGTGTCAAATCTCCAATTAAAGTGTAATTACAGTGAATTTTCTGGTTAGGGATTCATGCGTCTTAACAGCCTCAGGGTAGAAGCTGTTCCTCAGTCTAGTGGTTCTACTCTTAATGCTCCTCAACCTCCTGCCTGAGGGGAATGGGGCAAAAAGTGTGTGTGCTGGGTGAGTGGGGTCCTTCATGATGCAGGTGGCTCTCTTCCTGCATCTGGAGGTGTAGATGTCTGTGATGGTGAGGAGACTGACTCCAACAGACTTCTGTGCAGCCTTCACCACTCTCTGCAAAGCTTTTCTTTCTGCAGCTGTGCAGCCTCCATGCCACATGTTGATGCTGGAGCACAGGATGCTCTCAACTGCACACCTGTAGAAGGAGAACATTCCAGCCAGCATACATAGGTGGGCTCCATATGGGATAAATATGGGCCCCAAAAGGTTTTGTCTGCAGTTTTCATGGTGGCCCCACATGGGTTAGCCCAGATAGATTTTAATGGGCCCTGACTGGGTTAACTTACATGAGGATGTAACTGGGACCCTGTGTACACAATTTCGTTCCACCACATGTACCACATGGGGTGCGAATGACAATAAAGACGCCTTGACCCTGACAAAGTTGTTGTTGAAACGTGGGTGGGAAAGGTGAAGCTGTTGGATAAATTAATCATCATTTCATCAGCTCATAAATGAAATAAGCCACTCGGAGGATACGACAAGATCTTTTCAACCCAGTTTTACTTGCAAGGGGTGCAGAATTGAAAACAGCCTTACACAGATGATATATGGAAGCACCGGTCACAAGGTGTGCCCACAGACAGCATAAAGAAGCATCTATTTATAATGCTTATCAGACAGAGAGAGGTCAAGGCAACCTTTACTTTCCAGCTTACATATTTGAAGGTGTCAGAAGTTATCATTTATCAGTTAGGCTCCTCTCTGAGACAAAAACACTCTCCTTCACACACATGGTTCTACATTAATTTAACATTAGTAAGTGATAACATCCATGACCTTTACGTTAATTCCCCTGACAGAAGCACCCCCACCTGCTTCAACCATGGCAGCTCTCTGCTCCACACACAGGGCTGTGGTAGCTCGGTGGGCTGTGCTTGCATCAGGAAGGGCACTGCATAAAAACACCTGCCAAGTTTTTGTGTGTTTATTTGCTGCGGCGACACCTATAAGGAAGGGAACAGCCAAAATAAGAAGAAAACTTTTTAAAAGAATATTTATTCCAGACATGGCCATTGCGTTTTGTTACATTTAAATGTAAGCTGTTGCATGAATAAGAGATTGCAATGATGGCATAAAGCGTATTCACGTTTGTTTTTATTGTTGCATTTACAGAGCCTGTGACGATAATGCTCCTGGGGAAGAGTGGAGCAGGCAAGAGCTCAAGTGGGAACACCATCCTCAACAAAATAGTGTTTAAATCTGACATGAAGCTGAAGAGAGTCACAGTGTACTGTGAAAAGGAGTTTGGGTCAGTTGAGGATACGCCTGTGGCTGTCATCGACACACCCGGGCTTTTTGAGAAAGACCGAAACAAAGAAGAAGTCGTTCAAGAGATTCTCAAGCGTGTCAAGCTCCAGGAGCCAGGCCCTCATGTTTTTGTGTACGTGGTTCCTCTAGGAAGGATGACAGAGGAAGATGAAAACACTCACAAGCTAATTGAAGCCATGTTTGGCCCCAGAGTGTGGGACTACACCATTGTGTTGTTCACCCACGGCGACCGACTGGAAGGTAAAACAATGAACACAGTGATTACAGAAAGCGACGACAACCTCCACAGCTTCATCCGCAAGTGCAGCGGCGGCTTCCACGTCTTCAACAACAAAAACCCAGAGGACCAGACGCAGGTGGTGCGCTTCATGGAGAAGATCCAGACCCTGCTGGCCCTGAATGGAGGCAGTCACTACCAAGCACGTTTTTATCCTAAACAGGAAAGAGGGATCAGGAAGAGGCAGCAGTGCATCCTGACAGAAAGAGGTGAAGCCATCAGGAGCAAGGAGGAAGACTTGATGAAGCATCACCAGGGGGAGGAACTCAAGAAGAAGATTGCAGAGCTGTGGAGGAAAGAGGAGGAGAACTCGAGAAAGGTTGCAGAGAAGGAAATCACAAACCAAAAAGTTTTGAGAGTCTTCCTGTTTATTGTATTTGTCGGTTTGTTGTTGGGGTTAGGTTTAGGGGTTTGCAGTGAATACCTGGTGGTAATCTCAGTCATTTGGATTGGCATGTTCTCCAAGACGTCTCTGTTTCCTCTAAGCAAAATACCCTGGCTGTCAAGGAAAAAGTGATCCAGATTGTTACCCATTAACTCTTCAGTTCTAATTATGAATTAAATGGTGTTGGTCCATAATCAGAAAATACTGTTGTAATAGTTTTACTCATTCACTATGATCAAGAGATAACCCACTATGATGGTAATAACATTTTTTATGAATTGATTTTAATTTTTCATCCAGCTTTGATCCATTCATTTAATTGCTGCATGCACTGTGCTGATCTGTTAGCTGTAAATTTAGTTGTGTCTTGATTTGCAACATATAATAAATACTGTACTTGTACAAGTTCATTCAACCTTTATTTAGACAGGTTAATCCCACTGAGCCTCCGGGACTCATTTACAAGAGAGATTTTAACAAAGAGTGGTGACAACAAAGACAACAGTAGACAATCGTAAAAAGCATGCAAATTAAGAACACATTTTTAAAAAATGATGTTAAAAAATGAAACAACAGCTAGATTGTAAGGCGATGTAAGGTACTAAAAACAGGAACATGTCTGCAATGGTTTTTGTCAGGAACTTAACAGATGTTTGAAGCCACTTAGAGAGGTCAAGGTCGAGAGCTTCAGATCTTTTTGCAAGATATTCCAGGAAACAGGAGCAGAGTAGTTCCTAGTTCAGTCCGCACTGAGGGAACACTGCAGGTAACAATGTCCTGAGCGCACGCTGTAGCTGCACTCACGCAGAGACATGTAGGAGGAGATGTATGAAGGCAGCAGACCAAGAAGTGATTTAAAGATGAAAATGTACCAGTGGGAGAGTCTATATGATGACCAGTTAACCAGTGAATACAGGGTGCAATGGTGGTACTGGGTACGGTACAGCCAGTTATCATAGGCAGCAACATCTGCAAGGTGCTTGTAGAAGTGTTTGTGTAAATAACGTCACTGTAGTCAGTGGAGGGAAGGAAAATCCCAGTTACAAGGTATTTCTTGGCATTCAGAGTTAGACAGGATCCATTTCTGAAAAAAATAAAATTAAAAAGAGTTTCCTTACCAAGTTATCGATTTGGAGCTTAAAAGAGAGCTGCGAATCAACCAAGATACCCTTGTAGGAATTGACAAACTCAATAGGAACACCGTTCAAGGATAAAATCTAAGGAAAAACTGCTGAGAGTCTGGGACTGCATCTATAAAAGGCAAATCTATAAAAAAAATAAAAAAAAACCAGTGCATTCATTGATCTTAGGGTAAGTTTTAACATTGTCGTCAGTAAATACAGGCATATAATGCATCACATGTTAAAATAACTGATTTCTTTAAACAAACTGCTGTAAGGAGTTTCACAAATCAGACCAGTGGGCACCATCTTCTATCCACCACTAGAGGGCGCTCTGCCCATCACCCATTGTTTACATCTGTGACATGTGGAGAAGCTAAGATGGCGTCCAAAACAGCTGCTCACAGCCGAAAAAACAACTATTGAATTAACAGCAAACACAACTGGATCCGTGTCACAACTTATATTTAGTATCTTAACTATAACGTCATATAACATATTTTAATGTTCATACAGCAATCATGTAAAACAGCTAGATGTTATAGAAAGAAACTATTCTAATTATCTAAAGTCAGTCAATAATTAATGATCGACCTACAATAATTTAAACAATTTTTAGTTAAATAGTTCTGACTTCAACGAGTTTGACAATTTTGAAAATGGCCGCTGCAGCGAAACACGTGGTCACGTGACCACTGAGGCGGAAACAATTCAAGTGAGTTTCTGTTTCATTTCCTCGTTTCAGGCAGTTACGAGAAGCCTCGTTGTGAATTTAGCTGCGGATGTTTTTCAGTGAGCACAGTGAAAATGATTGCACGAAGGACTGAGGAAACCTGTAAGTTCATATTTGCTCCACGGAGACTGAAACACGATTACACGACACGTGTTCATTACACGACGTTAGTTCAAAACTGTGGTGTGACAGACCTGCAGATTATGAAGAACTTATTAAAAATGGAGCTTTTGCACCCGAAAAGTTTGATAGAAAACATCATTCTGAAAATCCAGAGCTTGGTTATTAACAGAAATGTTCTTGATTTTCTCAAGGCTAGACGGAAGACGCAGAGAAAGTGAAGGAAAAAGAGAATAGCAACATTTAAAGTACAAGTTTTAAGAGGACGGATCTGCACGATGACGTCAGGTAAGTGTGAGCATGACAAAGGGACAGTGAAAGAAGGTTAACTTGTCTGAAATGAAATTGAAGAATGCATGAATTCCAGCAACTTTCATGCCAAAGTATAAAAAAATGTTTTCTGTCAGCGCTCCTTGTGAGTGATGGGGACGACTCTCAGCTACTACCACAGCTGACAGGGTTAAAGCCTTTTCTGCATTTTCAAATGTTGCCACCTTGAATCAGGTTAACTCCAAAAGTTCAATAAGTTCATATTTTTCTCAGACTTTCATCTTAATCTATCCAGTAGTTAGACATATTTTGCTAACAGACGGACACACTCGCACAAACACATGATCACCCATCTTTTATGGATGGATTTAGCTAAAATCTGGATTCACTGGTGCTGGTCATACAATTAGAATATCATGACAAAGTTGATTTATTTCAGTAATTCCATTCAAAAAGTGAAACTCGTATATTATGTTCATTCATCACACACAGACTGATATATTTCAGATGTTTTTCTTTTAATGTTGATGATTATATCTGACAACTAATGAAAACCCCAAATTCAGTATCTCAGAAAATTTGAATATTGTGATAAGGTTCAATATTGAAGACGCCTGGTGCCACTCTCTAATCAGCCAGTTAACTCAAAACATCTGCAAAGTCGTTTAAATGGTCTCTCAGTCTAGTTCTGTAGGCCAGTGGTCCCCAACCTTTATTGAATCTTGGATAAAGTAGGTGCCATTTTCTGCATTTTGTTGTATTTTACAAAGGTTTATTACAGTAGATTAACATGAAGCAAAAGATGTAAACTCGTTATTGAAATGACTGCAAATCGTTCGTAATGCAAAACCACTGCAGCTCTGCAGGTGAGGGGCGTTCACTTCAGGACAAATTGAGGTCGCTGATTTGTCAGTTGCTTAAGGTCGTTTTCACACCAGATAGTTCGGTAGACTCGGTTCGGTTCGGGACCAATATTCATGACCTTTTGTTTTCATTTGAGCTGGTGAGTTTGCATTCACACTGCAGTGTGCAGTCGAGTCAACCTGTTGAACCAACCTGCTCCCCCGCTCGCCTGTGGGGGCGCTGCACCAAGAACTACTGAAAGAAACGACACAAAAACCTCTGAAGACACGTCTTCTTCTTCTTCTGTAAATAAAAATAAAAACGAAGTGGCATCAAGTTTTAGCAGTTTTAGGAGTTATATTTTGTCATTTTTCAAAAATGGACTTAGCATGAGCAGAAGATGAGACAGAAGACCATGGAGAATATTGTTTTTCCACACAAGGCAGCTGACGGCTCCATATAACGTCAGTGAAATGTGTGTTTGTTTGTCCTGCGGAGCGGGGCTCAGTCTGTTTACATTCACACTGTACTCGAACCGCGCTGGAGTTCGCTTCTACTGGACCGAGACCTAGGTTTTAGCCTGGGCCAGAGTTCGCCTTTTTGTTCCGTGACAGAGTTCGATTGCGTTTTCACACCTCCCTAAACGAGCCGGACTTTCTAGGAAAACGAGCTAGAGTTCGATTAAAGCGGACTAAACAGGGCTAGTGTGAATGCACCCTAATTGTCAGTTATAAAAGTCAACGTTAAAAGAAACAAACATTTGAAATATATCCGTCTGTACGTAACAAATGAATATACAAGTTTCACTTTTTGAATGGAATTACTGAAATAAATCAACTTTTTCCACAATATTCAAATTTTATGACCAGCACCTGTATTTCAAATGTACTTGTAATCACTTTATGTGTGATTTATAAGTGTATTAAGTGCAGGATCATTTCTCATTTAATTAGTAGATCCCACACCACGGTCAGCTGTGCCTTGTCATCCTCTTCCCTGCTCCGCAGTGATTCACACATCAGATTGTACACAAAAGTGCCCAGGAACTTATGCATAATGCAAAATTTTAATTATTGTGTTTTTTAATAAAATTGCCCATGACTTTGAACTTTTAGGGGCAGAGGTTTTTTTTAAGTGCAGAAGCAGAAATGCGAAGGAACAGCTCTGATGTGAATTCAAAAAAGTTCAAGACAAAACCAGCTCTGATGTGATGTTAGGAAGCTTTTTTTTATTATAGTTTTATTTAGTTAAAAGTTTTACAGTCACTCCTTGTCAGGCGGGTTGAAAAATATGCAGTGTAATCCTTCAAATGCGCAGACGCGACCGCGCGCCTCCTCCTATCCTGTCTGCTCAAGACCACTGGAACGGGCAATGTAGAATCAATCTGCGCATGCGGCTAACAGAAACTGAAATTTACCACTTGTGTATATTGTGGTGTGATGTGGTGGAGAGAATCCGGTGATTTTTCAAAATTAAACTTTTTTGTTTGTTTTTTGTTTTTTTTTCTGTGCGGCCCATGAACAGAATTTGTGACAAAGGGCAACATTGGTGGAGTTCAACTCTCACCGGGAACGAGCCCGACTTACTGCCAGCAATGCGGATCAAGCTCTGACACCCACCGGTCATACAGGGATCTAACAGCCCGTATCAAAGGGCCTGGTACCCCATACTTCCAGAGTATCCCCACAGGGTTCCCCACAGGGTTCCCCGAGGGACACGGTTGAACACCTTCTCCAAGTCCACAAAGCACATGTAGATTGGTTGGGCAAACTCCCACGCACCCTCCAGGACCCTGCTGAGAGTGTAGAGCTGGTCCAGTGTTCTACGACCAAGACGAAAACCGCACCGCTCCTCCTGAATCCGAGGTTCGACTATCCGATGGACCCTCTGTTCTATGAAATTATCTTAAACAAAATACAGGTTCGGGGAAAGGTCGAAGCAATGAATAAAAACTCACAGGCTGTTTTCTGCTAGGATAATAAGTGTCATTTATTAAACTGCCACAGATTCAGCGAAGCAAAAAGTACAAGTACATGTACAAATCAGATATTGATATAAAACCCCTCACCGTGACACCGGACCGGGAAGTCGTTTCAGTCCAAGTAAAAAGGTAACATCAATTCAGGCTGGGCATCGGATCAGGATCCACAGCAGACTTCAACTCTTATTCTGAATGTTACACTTTTATACTCCCCCTCTGGCTGGGTGACGTGCAGGCAGAGCAAAACATGTTTACCCGTTATCAAGGCAGTTGTGCAGCAGAGCGATGGCTCTTAAAAACATGTCTTTCAAACCCAAGGCCTTTGCGTATGAGCCTGATGGATGAAAGACATGTTTACAGAAAACTCCGGGTCGTTGTAACCGCCAGACGGGCCAAGTCTTTTGGTAAGAACCTCCCGGAGACTTATCTACATTCCTTTGAAGCGCATCACCCTCTGCAGCACAAGGCCTGATTTGCAGTTAAACTGCATATAAAATGAGTATAAAATAAGTATAAATTGACATAAAAGCATCAAAATAATCATTCTTATATCACCCTCCTCTCCAGAACCCCCGAATAGACCTTACCAGGGGGGCTTAAGAGCGTAATAAACATTTGAAATATACCAGTCTGTGTATAATGAATGAATATAATATACAAGTTTCACTTTTTGAATGGAATTACTGAAGTATATCAACTTTTTCATGATATTCTAATTTTATGAGCAGCACCTGTATGTGTTTATTTATTGCAACGAGTCTTAAGTGTACCACCCATCTTCAGCCCACTTAACTACAAGTTGCTCTGTGAATCCTTGCATTTTGTTGTTAGTATGAATAAGAAGCACACTTATTAAAGCCACAGTTTCAAGTTAAATGTGTTGAATTATTGATAAGTTCTGTACCTGTATTAAAAAATAAGCAAATATTTCTGTTTTTCCAGACTTCTCTTTGAAGAAGAGAGATAGAGGTGAAATCTGGACCTGGTCCACCTATAAGGTCCAGCTGCCTGTGACCTGTGGGCACATGAAGGGAACACTCGTCCGGGCCAGACTGGCTAAAGGTGAGAGAACAAAGTACAACCAAAC